CCCCCCCCCTCCCCTCAGGTGAAACAAGCAGAACAAATCCGCTTCGCTGGGGGGGGCAGACGGAGGACAAAAACATCTGGAGCCTTCCTCTCCTCCTCCTCTGCCTCCTCCTCCTGCTCCCGCTCATCATCCTTCCCCCAGAATCCAGTGTGTGTCTTCTCCTGCCTCCCGCCCCCCCAAACAACAAATACCCTGTGACGTACCCAACCCTTTCTATACATGTGGCGATTCTACCCAGGGCCACTCCATGCTGACTGGCATTCTGAAGGGCCCGCAGCGCGCAAGACGAGCACCCAGCAGTAATTTCAGAAGAGCGCAACAAGAAGAGGAACGGCAAATGTACAACATGGAATACCAGGGACGTTTCGAGGAAGTCTTAGCGAGAGGCCCATGTTGAACAGAAGACGCCTTAACGCAGCTCCTCCGACATCACATTTTGTGGCGACAGTTGCGCAGATCGCAAGCCCCCCCCCCAGGGGGCGACGAGGTCCCGAGGTGGTCCGCGTATGACGTACCTCCGCTGGGCCTGCCAGGAGCCCACGAACGTGGCGACAGTTGCGCAGATCGCAAGCCCCCAAGGGGGCGGCGAGGTCCCGCGGTGGCCCGCGTATGACGTACCCCCGCTGGGCCTCCCAGGAGCCCGCGACCGTGGCGACAGTTGCGCAGATCGCAAGCCCCTCAGGGGGCGTCGAGGTCCCGAGGTGGTCCGCGTATGACGTAACTCCGCTGGGTCCCAGGAGCCCACGAAAGTGGCGACAGTTGCACAGATCGCAAGCCCCCCAGGGGACGGCGAGGTCCCGAGGTGGTCCGCGTATGACGTACCTCCGCTGAGCCTCCCAGGAGCCCCACGAAAGTGGCAACTGTTGCGCAGATCGCAAGCCCCCCAGGGGACCGCGGGTTCCCGAGGTGGTCCGCGTATGACGTACATCCGCTGGGCCTCCCAGGAGCCCACGAAAGTGGCGATTGTTTCGCAGATCGCAAGCCCCCCAGGGGGCAGCGAGGTCCCGAGGTGGTCCGCGTATGACGTAACTCCGCTGGGCCTCCCAGGAGCCCCACGAACGTGGCGACTGTTGCGCAGATCGCAAGCCCCTCAGGGGACCGCGAGGTCCCGAGGTGGTCCGCGTATGACGTACATCCGCTGGGCCTCCCAGGAATCCACGAAAGTGACGACAGTTGCGCACATCGCAAACCGCCCAGAGGGCGGCGAGGTACCGAGGTGGTCCGCGTATGACGTACCTCCGCTGGGCCTGCCAGGAGCCCACGACCGTGGCGACAGTTGCGCAGATCGCAAGCCCCTCAGGGGGCGTCGAGGTCCCGAGGTGGTCCGCGTATGACGTAACTCCGCTGGGTCCCAGGAGCCCACGAACGTGGCGACTGTTGCGCAGATCGCAAGCCCCCCAGGAGACCGCGAGGTCCCGAGGTGGTCCGCGTATGACGTACATCCGCTGGGCCTCCCAGGAATCCACGAACGTGACGACAGTTGCGCAAATCGCAAACCGCCCAGGGGGCGGCGAGGTCCCGCGGTGGTCCGCGTATGACGTACCTCCGCTGGGCCTGCCAGGAGCCCCACGACCGTGGCGACAGTTGTACAGATCGCAAGCCCCCCAGGGGACCGCGAGGTCCCGAGGTGGTCCGCGTATGTGACGTACATCCGCTGGGCCTCCCAGGAATCCACGAAAGTGACGACAGTTGCGCACATCGCAAACCCCCCAGGGGGCGGCGAGGTCCCGAGGTGGTCCGCGTATGACGTACCTCCGCTGGGCCTGCCAGGAGCCCCACGAACGTGGCGACTGTTGCGCAGATCGCAAGCCCCCCAGGGGACCGCGAGGTCCCGAGGTGGCCCGCGTATGTGACGTACATCCGCTGGGCCTCCCAGGAATCCACGAAAGTGACGACGGTTGCGCACATCGCAAACCGCCCAGGGGGCGGCGAGGTCCCGAGGTGGTCCGCGTATGACATACCTCCGCTGGGCCTGCCAGGAGCCCCACGAAAGTGGCGACAGTTGTACAGATCGCAAGCCCCCCAGGGGACCGCGAGGTCCCGAGGTGGTCCGCGTATGTGACGTACATCCGCTGGGCCTCCCAGGAATCCACGAAAGTGACGACAGTTGCGCACATCGCAAACCCCCCAGGGGGCGGCGAGGTCCCGAGGTGGTCCGCGTATGACGTACCTCCGCTGGGCCTGCCAGGAGCCCCACGAAAGTGGCGACAGTTGTACAGATCGCAAGCCCCCCAGGGGGACCGCGAGGTCCGAGGTGGTCCGCGTATGACGTACATCCCCCCCAGGAATCCGCGTCCGCGTCCCGAGGTGGTCGCGTATGACGTATGGGCTGCAGGGCTGGCGACAGTCCAGATCGCAAGCCCCCCAGGGGACCGCGAGGTCCGAGGTGGTCCGCGTATGTGACGTACATCAGGAATCCACGAAAGTGACGACAGTTGCGCACATCGCAAACCCCCCAGGGGGCGGCGAGGTCCCGAGGTGGTCCGCGTTTGACGTACCT